GTGTGTGTGTATGAATCATCTAAAGTGGACATCGTCAATTCTAGAAGGGGCGCCGGGAATGTTAACTTTAAAGGCACATATCTCAAAAACTGTGCGAGCTATCAGAATTTCGGTAACTCATAAAATATAGGGCCTAAAATTTTACATATTTTCATAGTTAACAATTTTTCAAAATCTTTTACAGGAAATCAGATAAATTCTTTTTAAAAAACCACATGTGCGGGCCCATTTGACTCATCCCTCGAGTCTTTTGGAATCTAAAAAATCCCCCATTTTTCCAATATATTGCGTGGTTTATCTTCCCTAGACACCTAAAAATATCTCCCAGTCCAGTCAGCTGATAAGAAGAATTCATCTATATAAAATGTGTCTCGGAGAGAGATGAGCACAAAAAGTGCTCCAAATCCTTTTCCTCATGATTTCGTATAGTTTTATAATCCCGAGGATTATCAGAAATTCCTGATAATCCTTTTTCTGACTTTTTCCTTATCATATAAGAGGTTTTTTTCTAATCAGCAAAATCTTGAAAAAGTCAAATTTCCAGATAGACAATTTCAGATTTTAGCTTTTTTGGTCTGAAATTTTTCGATGCATGAAAAGTGCACGCAGGTGTAAAGCGAGTACCCGTTATGTTCCTTTAATCTGAAAAATTTAATCTTCTTAGAAATACGTATAAGAATTATGCACTCTTTTTTCTCTGGAAAATCCAGAAATCCCAGAAAATCCGCTTATATTTTTTCTTAACCTTTTTAAATAAATTTGAATTTCTAGATCATAAAAAATAATCTAGAAAATTTGGTATTCCAAGAGAGAAGCAGAGAAACTAGACAGTTTGCTTTCTCTGCGTCTCTACCACTCTTTCGGGGTTTTCAACTTTAAAGGCGCATATCTCAAAAACTAGAGTAGCTATCAAAAAGTAGCCAACTACCAAATTGCTTAGCATACAATTTCACATATTTTTGTAGTTGAAAAGATTTTGATAACTACTGTAGTTTTAGAGATATGCGCCTATGAAGTTGGCTTACCTGGCGCCCCTATCCTGCTCTCCTCCACCGCCGCTCCTTGGGGGGGGGGCACCTAACTTTGAAAACGCATATCTTCAAAACGGCAAAAGTTATCAAAAAGTTGTCAACTACCAAATTGCTCAGCATAAAATTTTATATGTTTTTGTAGTTTACCACTTTTTGATAACTACTGTAGTTGTGGTGTTATGCGCCTTTAAAGTTTTCGCGCTAGAAAATGGGAAAGACGCAGAGAAACAAGAGTGTCTAGCTTCTCTGCGTCTCTAAGGTTCCATTTTTTAGACTTTTTCGACAAAATTTTTGCTTCAAATCGTTTTTTGAAAAATTTCATCATCCCTAGAAATTTCCTCTTCTTCTTTTCCCGATTTTTTTCCAATAATGATGAAAAAAACATGTAGGGGTATATAAAATTTGAATATTCTCAATTTTCAGCCTTTTTCAGAGAAAAATTGATGCTTCTAGAACATTTTAGAAGCCATAAATCTCTGAAATTCAAGATATGGGGTTTCAAAAATATAGATTTTTCTAGAAAAAAATTTATTTGCAAAAAAAAAATTTTATATTAAAAAAATTTTTGCCGCCTCCAGGCAAAATTAAACTTTGCAGAGGAGAAGAATGTCTAGACATTTTTTTGCAAATTTTTTTCTACAGTAATCTTTAATTTCTGAAACTATTCTGATCATTTTTTGATCTTTTATTCCCGTTTGATCGTTCAAATTTTTTTATCTTCTGGTCTTTGAAAAGTTTTATGATTTTCGGAATTTTTTAGGCAAAAAATCATAAAAATAGAGTCAAAATTTTGAAATGATTGAATTTTCAGCTATTTTCAGAACACTTTTCTATAATTTTCCATAGCAATTTTCTCTTTGAAAAATGAGAAAATTGAAAATTGGAATTTTCTAAAAATAGAGCTTTGGCATTGGTCATAGACCAAAGTTGTATAGCTGGCTGCTGTTGGAGCATGAGCAATGCTAATTAGATCTCTTTCCATTCTGAAAAAGAAGAATTTTTGGTATGAAAAGTCTCAAAAAAATTACTCCAAATTTGTTGAAAAATGGCTTAAAGTTCTAAAGTTTCGAAATTCTCAATTTTGCCATTTTTACCTAATTTAATGAGTCGAAATTCCCATAATTTTGTAGATTTTGGAATTTTTAGTGATCTCCGCCTTCAGATTTTCTCATTGATAAAGAAAAGTGATCTATGAAAAATCGGAGAAAATTTCCGGTTTCTTAAAAAGGGAATCTAGAATTTTCGAGAAACCAAAATTTTCAAAAATCCTTTTATTTTAAACTTCAGACCTTCTAATCTGTCTGAAATTGAAAAATCCCGCTCCCTAGACTCTTCCAACCGAACGCCATCTTGTTTTTCATCTTCTTCCTGTTCCTGTTTACTCCAAAAAACGCTTTTTTCTCTAACACTCTCTTGTTTTCCCCTACTCTCTCCCTTGTCACGAGCATTCCCTCTATTTTTTGTTCAAACTAGTTTTTGGCATCGTGCCAACCTAATCTCTGAACTTTTGACGAGAAATTTCCATAGGAAGGATCGTCGATTAGAATGTTTCCTTAAGTTTTACTGGTTTTTTATGTCCTTCACGTGAACAGGTGTATCTTGAAAATGAAGAGAGCTAGAACAATTTTGAAAACTAGAACATGTGCAAAATTTAATGAGCTATGTTGTTGTAGTTTACACTTTTTCCTAGCTATCTTAGTTTTGGAGATATGCGTCTTTGAAGTTGAACATCCTGGCGCGCCCTATCCTCCTCACTCCGCCGCCGCCGATTGGGTCCGCTTACTTTAAAAACGCATATCTCAAAAACTAAAAAAAGGTATCAATAAGTTGTCAACTAAAAAATTATTTAGCATAAAATTTCTCACATTTTGGTAAATTACAAATTTTGAATAGCTACAGTAGTTTTGGAGATATGCGCTTTTGAAGTTAGCCTACCCTGCCAATTGGGGTCGGCTACTTTGAAGGCGCATAACTCAAAAACCAGAAAAGCCATGAAAAATTGTTAACTACCAAAATAAGGAGCGTAAAATTTTACACGAATTACGAATTAAATAAATTTCCTAACCACCGTAGTTTGGGAGATATGTGCCTTTAAAGTCAGCAGACCCCCCCAGTGGGGCGCTAAAAAGAGGGCGCCGGGTAAGACATCTTTAAAGGCGCATATCTCAAAAACCAGGGGAGCTACTAAGAAATGTTAACTAAAAAAACGAAAAACGTAAAATGTTACACATTTTTCCAGTTAGGTTTCTTTCCTAGCTACAGTAGTTTTGGAGTTATGCGCCTTTAAAGTTAGCTTTCCCCCACCTGCATCCTACCCCTGCGGGTTGTGGGTGGACGCAGGAGAGGTGGCGCCAGGTAGGTTATCTTTAAAGGAGCATATCTCAAAAACCAGGGAAGTTATTAAAATTCTGTCAATTATCAAAATAAAGAGCGTAAAATTCTACACATTATCCCAATTTCAAACTATTTTTTAGCTACCGTAGTCTTGGAGATATGCGCCTCGCAAGCGAAAGACGCAGAGAACTAGACTATCTAGCTTGTCGACGTCTCTAATAGCCAAAAAAAGGGTTCCAGCTTCTCAATAAAATGTCATAATCTAATTTGCATCACTTAACTCGATTTCGGGAAATCGAGTGAAAGTGAGTAAGAGATAGAGAGACGCAGAGAAACGAGAGGGAGGGTCATTTCGGAAAAGGCGCTGACGCCATGTGAAGATAAATGACCACATGCCCTTTTCTTCTTCTTCTTTTCATCAGAAAATGAAGAAGGGAAAAGTGCACGTTTCGTCGTGTTCTCTAGTTCCTCATTCTTCTTCTTTTTCCCTTTTTTCCAGCCTAAGAAGACTCTTTTTTGCTGAAAGGTTTCAGAATTCCAAAAAGTTTCTTTTTGACCCACTGACGTAGCCATCTGTAACTGGTTATTCATATGTTCACGATCTTATCAGGACTGATAACGACCCATGGTGGTCTTATCAGTTTGTACAACGATTAAAGTCGTAAAAATTGCGAAAAATTGGTGTTTAGACTTTGCTATACTACAGTTCTGGAGTAGGTCTAGTTTGAGGCGCATACCTCGAAAACTACGGTAGCTATCAAAAACTTCTTAACTAGTAAAATGTGTAAAATTTAATTTTCTACATTTTACAAGTTAAACATTTTCTGATAGCCAGCGTAGTTTTAGAGTTATGCGCCTTTAAAGTTAGGCGACCCCCCCCCTGGTTGGGGGCGCAGAAGAGGGGTAAGGGGTGGGTCAACTTTAAAGGCACATATCTCAAAAACTACTGTAGTTATTCAACAATTGTAAACTGCAAAATTATACAAAATCTCCTGTGCTACATTTTTATGTATTCTAATTTTTTCTAGCTACCCTACATTTTGAGATATGCGCCTTTAAACATGACCCCTCTTTTTTTGTGGCACTAGAACAATGACGTGTCGATGACAAAAGGGATGATGCATCATCATCATGAAGTTCCTCCTTTATCATTAATTTTTTTCCCTCTCTCTTCCTCTTTTTTCTCTGCGTCTCTATCCCTCTCTCTGTCTCTCTCTCTCTCCTTCCGTTTCACACGTGTGTCTATTTTAAGCTCCGCCCACTCTCTCTCTGACTCCTCCTTCTCTAGATTTTGGTATCAAATCAGTATAGTCTTTTTTGGTTCTAGTTTAGAATAGATCCTATTTTCTATCTTAAAGGAGGCCAGACACCAAAAAAGAAGTTTTCCTGATATTTTGCCTAGAGAACCCCCATGAGGGGTTGAACTCATGACAGGCAGCTCAGGGTACAGCGCTGCTACCGGCTGAGCTACGGGGGCGCGAAGGCGCCTGACGACCGATGGTCTACATAAGCGCGGCGCGATCTCGTCCCCCGAACTGCCCCCGAAATTTTTGCTGTCTTGCCTCCTTTAATGATTCTAGAATAGCCTGAAAGATTCCTAAATTCTTAGAATTCCAATTTCCATCTTTTCAGAAAATGACCATTCTACTTCAACGTCGCCGATTCTCGGCACTCATCGATCAAATCAGAACATGGACCAGCTCGATTAAATCGTAAGTTTTTGGAAAATAGTCAGAGAAGCAACGCAATCTCGTTTCTCTGCGTCTCCCCCTCTCTAATGGTGTTGCGGCTCAGTTTTCGGTGGGTCAACTTTAAAGGCGCATAGCTCAAAAACGGAAAGAGTAATCAAAAAGTTGTGAACTAGCAAATTGTGTAAAATTATATGTTTAAAATTTCTGTAGTTGACAAATTTTTAATAGCTACTGTAGTTTTTGAGATATGCACCTTTGAAGTTAGCCTACCGCCGCCAGTGGGGGTCGCTCTAACTTTAAAGGCTCATATCTCAGGAACAGTGAAAGTTATCAAAAAGTTGTTAATTAGTTAAATGTGTAAAATTTCAAGCTCTATGTTTTTTGCTGTTTACACTATTTTGATAGAATTTTCCGTTTTTGAGTTATCAGCTGTCAAAGTTGGCGCTCTTCAAGCCAACTCCCTCCGCCGCAGCCGCCGCCACCAATAGGGGGTTGCCAAATTTTAAAGGCGCATAACTCAAAAACTGTGAAAGCTACTAAAATTTTGCAAATTGTTAAAATATGTAAAATTCAATTTTAACCATCTTACTAGTTAATAAAACTTTTATAACTACTGTAGTTTTTGAGATATGCGCCTTTAAAGCCAACAGGTCAATTTGGATTATTTTGACTCGTTTTTTTTTCAGAGACAAACAGTACCGCTCCCTCTCTACTGGTGACCTAGTCACCACCACAAAAACTCCATCAGAATTCGAATCCGACTTTATGGAGATGGATTTCGGGTCCACACCAACCACATCCTCCCTACCATCCCATTTCGATGACTGTGATTTGGTACCAATGGAATTTAAGAAAAACGGAGTGAAGCTCTTGAAACAAGGCTCCAAAAAAGCAATGAGCACCAAGAAATACGGTAGTTCTGGAGATTTAACAAAGCTGAGAGTTGAGGACATACATAAGGCACAATCCTGGTTCTTTTTGGATGTCGATCCGAGGTCTGCTGAGAGGATTCTGATGTCTGACGGATTTCTAGACGCTTCTTTCCTAATCTCATTTTTCCGCGGCAAATATGTGCTCAGCGTGCTCAAGGGACATAAGGTGGAGCATTTGGTGATAAGGGAATATCAGAAAAAGAATGGAAGTACTGCATTTCAGTTGGATGTTGACCGATCTTTCAAGTGAGTTTTGGAGATCTTATATTCTTACATTCTTAGATTCTTAAATTCTTAAATACTGAGATTCTTACATTCTTACATTCTAAGATACTTAGATTCTTATATTCTTACATTCTTAGATTCTCAAAGGACTACATTCCAAGACTGTTCAAATGTTAAACCCTTAACATTCTTAGATATCTTATGACTTCTAATGATGGTGACACTTCTTAGATTCTTAGATTCTTAGATTCTTAGATTCTTAGATTCTTAGATTCTTAGATTCTTAGATTCTTAGATTCTTAGATTCTTAGATTCTTAGATTCTTAGATTCTTAGATTCTTAGATTCTTAGATTCTTAGATTCTTAGATTCTTAGATTCTTAGATTCTTAGATTCTTAGATTCTTAGATTCTTAGATTCTTAGATTCTTAGATTCTTAGATTCTTAGATTCTTAGATTCTTAGATTCTTAGATTCTTAGATTCTTAGATTCTTAGATTCTTAGATTCTTAGATTCTTAGATTCTTAGATTCTTAGATTCTTCTTAGACAACTTTTTTATTTCAAAGTTTTCCAGAAACCTCCTGGAGCTCACCGACTACTACAAAAAAAACAAGAGCTACGTTTTGTGCACCAAACTTTCTCGAGGCGTCCGTCCCCGCAAGAATCAGGATGTTCGATCCAGAGCCTAACTTTTTTGATCTTCAAAAATGTTCTTCTCCGACGTCTTCTCAATTCTAGAAGACTCTAAATTCAACATTCTTTTTACGGGGCCCCCTCAGTTTTATAGTATTTATTATAACTTCAAATAAACCAGTTATTATACACGTGGAAGAGAAAACCAAGAATAAAAACTTCGGCCACCAAAAACTAGGCCACCACTCTCTTGGCATACCGGCGGGCTCTTCTGTGCATCGATTGGGAGACACACTCGGCGAGAGAAGAGCGCTCACAGGCGAATTTATGGTAGAATACGGTAGTATTGACTTGATAGCACCGGTGGACCATTCCTTCCATCAGAAGATCTCGTCCCAATTCGATGAATAACCCCTCGTCGATGCATCCTGGAATTTTTGTGTATATCTCAAAAAACTAAAAAAACTAGACTTTTTTTCGTAAATTAAAAAATGTAGAAAATTAAATTCTACATATTTTTGTAGTTGACAGCTTTTTGATAGCTACTGTAGTTTTGGAGATATGCGCCTTTAAAGGTAATCTCTCCATCCTCCGTCCACCCTCCTAGAAAGAGCTGCACGGGTAGGGTAGGTAAACTTTAAAGGCGCATATCTCTGAAACTACGTTAGCTAAACTTTTTTTAACTAGTAAAATGTTGAAAATGAAATTCTACACATTTCTGTAATTTACATTGTTTTGATAGATACAGTAGTTTTTGAGATATGCGTCTTTAAAGTTGACCTACCGGCGCCCCCCTCCCTTGCGCCCACCATCCTAGAGGAGCGGCGCAGGTAGGGTCGGCCAACTTTAAAGGCGCATAACTCTAAAACTACAGTAGCTAGCATAAAGTTGTTAACTACAAAACTACTCCGCATTAAATTTGAAACATTTTCGTAGTTAACAAAATTCTGACAGCTACCGTAGTTTTTGAGATATACGATTTTATAGACACCTACCCAAAACCAAAAGTGTCCCATCATTCTTGCATTGATATCTAACATGTTGATGGGTCCACATTTGTCCAGTACTGTATTGTTGTCCCTCGTGATTACAGCCGAGCACTGCAAAAAAAGATACTGTAGCCTTAAAAGGCGCAAAGAGAAAAACCCACTCTTGACAACATATCGAACTTTTCCGGGACCAATAATTTCGCACTCATGTCGCTTTCCATTCTCGATTCTGGATTCTCCGGACATCAAAAGGTCGTTGAAGCTATTCTGCATATAGCATCCTGGAAAAAAGAAGCTACAGTAGTTTTAGAGATATGCGCCGTTAAAATTAATCTACCCTGTTCCTGCGCACACTTTCAGGCAGATGGGGGTTAGTTAATTTCAAAGACGCATATCTCAAAAAATAATTGAGCTAGATAAATTTTGTTAATTATGAAAATGTAGAAAATAAGATTTTATACATTTTGTTAGTTTACAACTTTAAACTAGCTACCGTGGTTCTTGAGATATGCGTCTTTAAAGGTGACCTCGCTCTCCGGCGCCCACCCACCTTGGAGGGTGGGCGAAGAAGCGGAGAGGGAGGAGGGTAGGTCACATTTAAAAGCGCATAACATGAAACCGGCAATAGATAATAAAATTTTGTTAATTATCAAAATATAGGGAATGAGATGTTCTATATTTTATTAGTGTACAACTCTGAGCTAGCTACAGTAGTTGCAGAGATATGCGCCTTTAAAGTTAGATGACCACACCTGCACTCCACCTGTGGGTAGGGGTGGCGCGAGAGGGGGCGCCGGGTAGGTCAACTTTAAAGGCGCATAGTTCTAAAGCCGCAGATGCTACTAAAATTTAAAAACTATCAAAATATAGTAAATTTTAATGGCTTTATTTGTCTTTTTACACTTTTTCAATAACTACTGTAGTTTTTAAGATATATGGCTTTAAAGAACCCATACCTAATAGGCTCACCTACCTTCCACATAAATCCCAGACTCTCTACAAGTCAATTTGAAAGATCCATTTCTAAACGAATCGCCAACATTATAATGCATTCCATTCTCATAACACATGCTCTCCTGTTTATAGGATACCGTATCCCCTTGGATACTACAAAAATGCTTCATTCCGGAGCGGACGAATGTTCGACCAAGTTGAATGACGGAACCATCATCGGCAAGGCAGGCTAAAAACGAGTATAGCTCGGTTACTGTAAGAGATATCAAAAAGTGATGTACTACAAAAGTGTAGGTGATAAGATGCTTAACAATTTATCAGTTGACAAAAGTTTGATATCTCATACAGTAACCAAGATAATTGCAATTAACTCACCCACAACTTCCGCTGTCCCATTTTTGCATGTATAATGGAAATTGTTCTTGGTGAATGTAGAGCCGTGTGGATGGGTGCCAGCATTAGACGTCACACATGGAAGTGGTGGAATATGGCCGTTGGTTACTGTATAATGTTAAGGATTACTGTAGGAGAGCCCTCTGTGTGTCCAGATGTACAGCTTACCTGGAATAACCACTCGATTCGCGTCGTCCATACCCATTCCATGGGCGGTGAGGATGATTTTGTCGCCTTCAGATCGATTTGAGGTTTCAAAAAATGATTGGCGGAATTCCCCGGAGATATATATTGGAAAAATCAGGAATAGAATTTGAAGAATCATGGTTTTTTTTCTGGAAAAAAATGGCTTAAAGTAGGTGAAAATAGTCAAAAAATCATGAAAATTGGATTAAAAAAGTCGGGCAATTTAATTTTTTGCGTATTTTTCAATGAAGAAAAGAAAAGAGACAAAAAGGGATAGAGGAAATGTTCTAATTACTGTTTTAACACATACACACATCCTCCTAGTTGACGATCACTTGTATTTGAGAAGAAATTTAGGTCACTTTTATACTGATTGCGGTTGGATGGGAAATTTCACAATTTGGAAGTAATTAAGAAAAATAGAAGATAAAATAGGCACACCTCTTTGTTTTCTATTAGTCAGACTATTTCAGTAAGAAAATTGATTATTTTTGTGAAACTAGTTAATCTAGCAGTTACAGTAGGCCAACTTTGAAGGCGGATAACTTATCAGTAAAATTAGTCAATCTTTGGAAAGTTATATGAAATTGTAGGAAATTTCAAGGGCTTCAAAATGAACTAATTTTATTGCAAATAGTATCAGCCGTTTTTAAGATATGCGCTTTTAAAATGAGCCTACCCCTCCTGCGCCTTTCCTCCGAGGGGAAGGCGCCGAAGAAGGGGGCGCCGGGTAGGTCACATTTAAAGGCGCATAACTTCTCCAACGGTTTACTAAATTTTTCGAAAATTATATGAAAATCTAGGACATTTTAAGGGCTTTCAGGTGATATAAAATACATTCTATTACATTCAAGATTTCAAACTGAAAATTGTTTTTGAATAATGTCTAATTGAACAGCTTAAAAACAGTATGTTTAAAGATGTTGTCTTTAAAAGCGCATATCTCAAAAACGGTGGAAGCTACTAAAATTAAGTAAATAACTGAAATATAGAAAGTAAACTTCTACACTTTTTTGTAGTTTTCAAAATTTTGATAGCCACAGTAGTTTTGGAGATATGCGCCTTTAAAATTACCATACCCTTACATGCGCCCTTCCCCTGTCGAAGAAGCGAAGGGTAGGCCAACTTTAAAGACGCATAACGTTTTCAGAAATCTACTAAATCTTTTGAAAGTTATATGAAATTGTAGGAAATTTTAAGGGATTCAAAATCAAAATAAATACTTTTTTGAAAAATCGAAATTTGATCCATCCAGCGCCCCTTTCTGCACCCACCCTCTGAGGGGGCTGGCACACAGGTGGAGAACGGCCAACTCCAAAGACGCATATCTCAGAAAAAGGGAAAGCTATTGAAAAGTATAAAACTACCAAAACATGAAGCGTTAAATTCTACACATTTTTGCAATTTACAAAACATCAGTAAAACCAGCCGTTTTTGAGATATACGTCTTTGAAGTGAGCCGACCCCCAGTGGGCAGCGGCGGCGTGGGTGGGGCGCCAGTTACTTTAAAGGCACATATCTCAAAAACTGTAAAAGCTAGGAAAAAGTTGTCAACTTCAAAAATAAAGCTTGGTTTTTGATTAGTACAATTCCAAAAAATTTGATATGAAATAATAAAATCTTAGTGGTTTTGTAGAGCACTTTGAACACTAACGATTATAAAGAATTCAATGCCAAGGAAGTTACATGCGCCTTTAAATGAGAAGATCTTAGAAGATAGATGGCTAACTAATAGGCAGCCTAATCAGAATTGGCAAGAATAAGAATCTCGAAAGCTAATCACAGAGAGAAATCTGGTCTAAGTTTCCCCATGATCATAAAAACCCTGTCTTTCTCCCGTTCTCGAGGAATCTATAGGGGTAGTAAATAAAAGATTTCGGAATAGGGATAAAAAAGGGCGGAAAACTAAGAAAAATGGGTTGACAGGTTGTACCTAGATAAAAAGACCTTGAACATCAGGAACTAGGCCATTTCTCTTTTCAACACCGAGAATTTTTACCCCCCATCCCATCCCAGACCAGACAGACACTTCATCTTTTCTTCACGTCTTCTTCTTCTTTTTTTGTTGACAGGTTCTCTCGGAGAAGACGTCTCTATTGACACGATTTGGGAAAAAAAGAAGAAGGTTTAAAATTCGAAGAAATTTTAGGCAGGAGTTTTTTAGCTGGAAAAAAACTTCCAAAAACCTGAAAAGCGTAACAGAGACAAGATAGACCAGATTTCGCTGTGAGTCAAAGCTACAGTATGCCAAATTGTAGGAAATTTCATGAGCTTCAAAATGGTATAAAACAATTCCATTAAAAAAAAATTTAGAGTTGGTCCATCCAGCGCTGCTTCCTGCACCCACCCTCCAACTGACACCCAGGTGGAGAACGACCAACTTTAAAGGCGCATTTCTCCAAAACGGCAAAAGCTACTAAAATAATGTTAATTACGTACATGTAGAGCGAAAAATTTTACACAGTTTTGCAATTTACAAATTTTTCATAAAATTAGCCGTTTTTGAGATATGCGCCTTTAAAGCTCGCATCATCCTCACAAGGAGAGGGGGAGAGAAGATAATTTGGATCCTAAGCTGAAAATGACAAAATTTTAATGCGTTTTTTCAGTTAATATTATCAAGCAAATAATTTTGAACCAGAGAAATCCAATTTTGAACATCCAGAATAAATTTATTGAAAACCAAAAAAAAAAAACGGAATAGTATGGATTTTTTGGAAATTAAAAAAAGCAGTTCAACTCTCCAGAAGAATCCAAAAGCGTTCCGTTCTAGCAAATGCTACAACTGCCCTGGTCCTCATACTGAAAAATTACAAAATATGATCTAAAAAACACTGAAAAATTCCTTCTCACCTTTACTCGGACAATGACCGTTTTTCCGCAGCGATCACATCGGTATTCGATTTCTGAAGATGTCGAATTTTCGATATTTGCAATCAAAAAAGCAATGCAAACTACCCCGAAATTCTTTTGGAACCGAATTTTTGCGTTTTTCTGCACTTTTTCGAAAAAGCGCACAAATGGCTCAGTGGGATTTTCGAAAATGCCACTATCAGCCTGACGACCCGGGTTCAATTCCTCTCTGTGTCAAAACCTTTTTTATTTCTGTTCAGGCTATTTTGCGACTATTTCAGAGCATTCTAGAGCTGGAATTTTAAAATTTTGGAAAATCTGAAATTTTCAGAAAAAAAATTTTGGAAAAAAAAGTGTTTTTCGATTGTTTTTCGATTGAAAAATCCCACTGCGCCATTTTGACAATTTTTCGAAAAACGCTTAAAAAGGCTGGAGAATTGAGTTTTGAAGAGGTTTTTAGCAAGAAAAAACGTTTTCACCTATTGTTACTGCAAAATTTTTTTGGAATTTAGATTCCTGTCCTGATGTTGGTTTCATGTCTTGTCCACAACATTTTGGTATTTCAACCATGTCTAGAAAAAGAAAAATCAAAATTTGAAAAAAGCAAGTGAACTGAACATCGGTACGGCTCTCCTGGCTTTTATATTATCACAAAATTTCAAAATTTGATAAGAATTCCTCAGTCTTCAAAATGACGTATCATTATCAGCACCTGCCAATCAGATAATTGATTAAAAAACAGGTTTTTGCAATTAACAATTAGCAAGAAAATTGCTGAGTTGTTACTCTGCTGAAGTTAAAGAATCAGTGAAACAAACATCAAGGACAACGACCCTGAAATATTATATCTAAGCAATGTTCGAAAAGTCGGACGTTTTCTCACCCCAATGGTCTCTAAATGAACCATTTTGAACTTTGGGGTTTGAAAATGAGTTAAAAAATCTGAAAATTCATGAAAAACCACCCTAAGATCCATTTTTCTAGCGTTTTGAGCAAGTTTTAGACAAATTGGGAAGTGTGGCTCACTAGGGAAGGTGGTAATCGGGGGGTGGAACTTCGGTATGTGACCTATATCATTCGAAAGCTGAGAATGGGACATTTTCAAACATGTATTCAGATTTTGCTGAGGAGCTACCAGTTTCGAGAAAATCAAGTTTCAAATTTGGCTCAAATTTGACTCTTAAGGGCGCCGCGCCTCACCTCTTTCTTATATGGATTGGGGGAAGGAAAAGAACCAGACAGGAGTGGTGTAGTGGCGAGGAGGGATGAAGTGTATCCAACCGGTTGTAGGTTCGATTCCTCTTCCCGTTATTGTTTTTTGATTTTGTTTTTGGTTTTTGTGGCTATCTTCAAAGTGTTATGAACGCATTTTCTTCAAAGAAAGGTTTTAGCTTACCGATCTCAACACCCGGGGTTCGATTCCTCTTGGGGTCAAAAGTTTTTTGCTTGTGTTTTTTAATATTTTCAGGTTGTAGAATGCCCTAGAAATGTCTGAAAATTAGAATTTCAGGTTTTGGATGAAAAAAAATTTCAAAAAAAAAAAATGTTTGCACATTTTCTCCTGGAAAACTAGCCTACAATCCATTATTAGAAAAATTGGTAAAAGTGGCTTCGTGGGTTTTTCGCTTCGAATCTCAACACCCGAGTTCGATCCCCGCTGGGGTCAATACCTTTTTGCTTTTGTTTTTAGGCGTTTTTAAGCGGAAGAATGTTCTAGAAATGTCCAAAAATTAGCATTTCTAATTTTGGGAAAACATTTTTGACTGAAAAACAAATTTCAAAAAAAAATTTTCCAATTTTTTTTTGTTTTTTTTTTAATTTCTATTTTTTGGACCAAAAATACCCGAATGGTAAGCAATTTTAGCACATTTGAGCATCTCGATCTGAAAATGAGCTGAAAAATCAGAAAATTCAAGAAAACTACTCTAAAATCAATTTTGCCAGTGTTTTGAGCCATTTTTAGAAGAACCGGGAAATGTGGCGCAGTGGGGTTCTAGCTTCGAATCGCAACACCCGAGTTCGATCCCCGCTGGGGGTCAATATCTTTTTGCTTTTGTTTTTCGGCATTTTCAGGTGGTAGAATGTTCTAGAAATGTCTGAAAATTAGAATTTCAGATTTCGGAAAATTTTTTGGGCTCAAAATTGTTCTGAAAGCAGCGTTCTGGGCCGATATTTCATAATTTTTAAAGCCAAATAATTCAAAAATAAAGTAGAAAAAGTGAAGAAGAATGATGAAAAGAAAAATAAATACATGGGAATTCAGATAAAGGAATTTCGAGGAAAAATCGCGGGAATTTGAAATTTCAGGAAGATTTTGGGGGGATCGAAAAATGCCTTAAAAATTGAAGAATAGAGCTTTAATGGGACATTAAGGGGCTAAAATTGATCACAAAAAAATCGATTATGGAGCTCATTCCAAGCCTAGAAAGGCTGAAAATGAATTAAAACTCACTTTTTGAGCTCAAAAATTACAAAAAAGGCAGTAAAATGGGAGGGACATTTATAGGGGTAAAATTTATCACAAAAATTTATTGTTTAGCTCAAAAATCGTCCAAATTCAGAGCTGAACACCCTGTCCAACCAATCCCTTGTCCATGAAACGTCTACGCGCAAAACACAGCCACCATTTCGACGGACGATCGTTGGGCTCCGGGAATGCGAGCTCACACAGCCGAGCTCCGAGTTCCTGGCGAATCTGTTGAAGGTAGGCACGCATCTCATCCTCATCCGGCTTGGATTGTGGCGATTTGTACATTGAGTTCAGTGGAAATCCATTTTCCCCGGGGATTGGCAGCAGATGAGATAGGGCCAGCGCGTTGAGATCCTTTTGACCGGCAATCTTGTTGGGGCTCTGCAGAAAAAATTTTCATTCTGAATTTGAGAAATTTTTAGTGATTTTGAGCGCTTGAAAATAGATTCAAAAAAAAAAAAACTTTTTTTTGAAAAATTTTTTTTCAGTCAAAATTTTTTCCCAAAATCTGAAATTCCGATTTTCAGACATTTTTAGAACATTCTACCAACTGAAAACGCCTAAAAACAAAAGAAAAAAGATATTGACCCCAGCGGGGATCGAACCCGGGTGTTGAGATTCGAAGGGAAAAATCCACTGCGCCACATTTCCCAAATTTTCTAAAAATGGCTTAAAATCCCCTAAAGATGGATTTTAGGCTAGTTTTTCTTGAATTTTCCGATTTTTCAGCTTAGAAAACCCCCAAAAAGGTCGAAATTCTACCTTCTGAAGCTTCCGAAGACACTCGGTGATGTAGAAGATCAGATAGATCATCGTACGATCGGCGGGTCCCTTGATCTGCAAATTTTGAATTTTTCGGGGTAATTTTTGGCGGGAAATTCAAACTTGTACCTCAAACTCCCGAAAAAAGATGTTTGGCTTGAAGTAGTTCAGTGCCTCGTCGATGATGTCGTCCTGATTGGTTTCTGAAGGCAAATATTCGATTTTTTAGCCGAAAAATCGATTTTTCAGAGAATTTCGGCATAGAATTCGTATTTTATAAGCTAAAATCTGGCATTTTCAGCCAATTTCAGCTTGAAATCCTCGATTTTCAGCGTTTTCTAGCTGAAAATTTCCAGAAGAATCGACTTTTTGAGGACTTACGCGGCGCCGGACCCTTGAAATTGGTGCGAATGGGCAGTTTGCCCATGTTCGTGTTGCCCAACGGCAACACCTTGATTTCCGTGTCGAATTTCGAGTGGTAGGCGGGCATTTTAGAGCTGAAAATGTGGAAAAACAAAAAAAATCAATTTTTTGGCTGAAAATTGTTCAAAAAATGGGAAAAAATCGAGCAATTTTGATTTCTAGAAAATTGAAAAAAAATTAATGAAAAAATCTGAAAAATAAGGTATTGTAGCTGAGAAATTTGAGAAAAAATCTTTTTTTTTAAATTAAAAAAATAGCGAAAAATTCAAATTTTCTAGCTGAAAATCTGTAAAAATCGATATTTGGAGCCGAAAAAAAATTCGAAAAAATTTATCGAAAAATTCGAATTTCGAGCCAAAAAATTGGGGGAAAACGCTGTGAAAATCGAATTTTCTAGCTAAAAATTCGAATTCGAAAAGGTGAGCAAAAAATTTTGAGCTCAAAAATCGGTGAAAATTGTCGAAAATTCGATAATTCAAGCTGAAAAACAACCAAAAACTAGACAAATAATCGATATTTCAGGGTTTTACAACCCAATTTAGCTCCAAAAATTTAAAAAAAAACGAAAAAATGTGATTTTTAAGCCAAAAATGGCTGAAAATGTGAGAAAAAATCAATTTGAAAAAAAAAATATATACAGAAAATCATATAACAAGATTTACATGTAAAAATGGTTAAAAAATCGGGAAAAAATAGACAAGAAAAACGCGGGAAATTCAAAATTCAAAGGGGGAAAATGAGCCAAAAAAATGCAAAATATCGATTTTTGAGCTTAAAAAATCAGAAGAATTAGGAAAAAACGATTAAAAACTGCCAAAAAATCCATTTTTGAGCCCAAAAATTATGAAAAAATCGATTTTTTACACTTTTGGGGCTCAAAAAAATTCGAAAAATTCGAAAAAAATTAGATCAAAAATCGCTGAAAAATCCAATTTCCACTGTTCCAGACTCATTTTTCATGGGATTTTCAGCATTTTTGGCTCAAAAAACTCCTCAATTCCTCTCTTTTACGGCCTTTTTCTGCGTTTGTTCTATCTGTTCGATAAAACTCTGCTTCGACAGCTGAATATAATCGATTGGGGTGATTGTGAGCAGTGAGACCCATTGACCGAGAGATTTGAAGCTGTCGGCGGCGAATATGAAGCTACGCGAGGTGCTGAAAATCATTTTTTTTTAAATGGCTGAAAATTTGGAATTTTCACATTTTTAAACCTGGAAAATCGATTTTAGAGCTGAAAATAGAAGAAAAATGGTGAAAAATTCGAAAATTCACATTTTTAGACCGAAAAAAACCGATTTTTGAGGCTAACAATCGTTCAAAAATCTGAAAATTGCGAGTTTTTTTAGAGCTCAAAATCATGGAAAAAAGTAATTCTCGGTTATTTTTAAGATTTTTGGCCAATTTTCAGACTTTTCTAGATACTTTAAACCATTTTTGGCATATTTTTAACACTTTTACTGAGCTATTTTAAGCCAACTTTCGCCCTTTTCAGACATTTTCAGCTCATTTTCAGCCTATTTTTGGCGTTTTTAGAGCTATTTTAAGCAAATTTTCGACTATTTTAAGCCATCATTTTTTAGATTTTTAGGGCTGAAAATCATGGAAAATAGTCTAAAAATTCAAATTTTCCGAGCACTTCAAAAATGGGTTATTTTTAGCTGAAAATTCAGTTTTTTTCGACTTAAAATTGCTCATTTTCAGCCAAAAAACTATAAAATCGACGATTTTGGAGCATTTTAATCCAATTTTCGACCCATTTTGAGCATATTTTTGAGATATTTCAAGCCAATTTTCACCTTTTCCAGACATTTTTAGCTCATTCTCAGCCTATTTTTGGCACTTTTAGGGGTATTTTTAGCCAATTTTTGGCATTTTTAGGGTAATTTTAAGCGAATTTCCTAATTTTAAGGCAATTTTGCGACTTTTTACATCTATTTTCAGTCATTTTTAGCCAATTTTACACCATTTTCAGCATATTTTTGGGCTATTTCAAGCTATGTTCGACTTTTCTAGTCATTTAAAGCTTATTTTCAGCCAATTTCGGACTATTTTCGACAATGTGTTTTCAAAATGATTTTTAGAATATTTCCAGCAATTTTTAGCCAATTTTAGACCATTCTTAGTACATTTTTGGGCTATTTTAAGCCGATTTTTCTGGACATTTTTAGCTCATTTTTCACGATTTCTAGGTTATTTTCAGCCATTTTTAGTTGATTTTCAGAGCCATTTTCAAGCTAAAACTCACGATTTAAACTTGATTTCGAAAGTGAAATCCTTTCCAATTTTATTCTCATCGCACAGCTCAATGAAGCAGTCCTCGATGATTAGTAGAAGGAATGGGGGAATCGATGACGTCTCCTCTTCTGGCTTATTGTACACGAACAGCATGTTGGCCTTCAGAACACCCCATCCCGCACGCCATTGGAAGTCCTGCAAGTGAAAAATGGTTCGAAAAGCGTGAAAACCGGTCTAAAATGAACTAAAATAGCATAAAATGGCTGAAAATAGCTCAAAAATGACTGAAAATGGCTGAAAATAGCTCTAAAACAGCTCTAAAATAGCTCAAAAATGGCTCAAAATTGCTCAAAATGGCTTAAAATAGCTCAAAAATGACTTTAAATGACTTAAAATACATAGCTTAAAATAGCTCTAAAATAGCCAAAAAATGCTCAAAAATAGCTTAAAATTGACCAAAATGCACTAGATTCATTGGGATTGCTCAGCTTTAATTTAGGCAGTTTTGGAGCCAATTTGAACCATTTTGGGTCATTTATTATGGATTTTGATGCTATTTTCAACCAAAAAATGGGTTTTTCGATCCGCAAATCGAGAAATGAGCTCAAAAATGGTATAAAGTTGTAGAGGATCAAGCCGAAATTGACCAAAAAATTACTGGAATTTTTGGGATTGCTCAGCCTTAATTCTGGTGGTTTTAAGGCCAATTTGGACTCATTTTAAGTCATTTTTCATGGATTTTTCAGCCAAAAAACGCTATTTTTCAAGATTTTTGACACCAAACTACATTAGCAACTGTTCAGTAAGCACTGAACAGTTGCTCAGAATCTAAAAACCTCCTCGAAAACATATTTATCCATTTCATTCGATTCGCCCAACGGGGAGCACATGACTGGGTCAAATCATCAAAAAATCACGGTTTTTGAGATCAATTTAAGCCATTTTTGAGCTATTTTGAGCCATTTGAAGCCTATCTTAAGTCATTTTTGGACCATTTTAAGCCATTTTAGAGCTATTTCAAGCTATTTCAGCGCTATTTTGGACTGTTTTTAGACAGTTTTAAGCCTATTTTTCAAGATTTTTGGACCATTTTTTCTGGATTTTAACTATTTCTAAAAATGATTTTTGAGCCATTTTCCAATCATTTTCCCTCAGACTTTTCTCCCGACAATT